CTGCATTTATGATGGTTCTGTTTTTTTTTTCTCTCTGAAACCCTGTTTTGTTGTGGAGTGTACGCCATAGTTAGCTACCTGCTAATGCCTTGAGATTTGTAGAACTCTGAAAACTCATTTGAGTTGAAATCATCACCACAATCTGTTCTCATGCATGATATAAATGCACTCGTCTCCTTTTCCACACTAACTTTAAAGTTCTTGAACACCGTGAAAGCTTCTGATTTCTCATGCAAGAAGTAACCCCTTTTTTAAGCGAATTCATCAATAAAACACATAAAGTACCTCTTACCACTGTGTGAGGCTGGTTTTATAGGCCCACATATGTCCGAGTGCAAAAATTGAAGCTGCTTCGACGCCTTCACACGCTTTTCTTTGACATGGATTCTCTGTGTTGCTTCCCAACTAAGCAAGTGGTGCAGATTTCTTTAGTCGATTTCAGATTAGGCAAAATGACAACTATATTTTGGTGAGACAGCATTCTTAATCCATTATGGTTCAAGTAACCGAAGCGACAATGCCATATGTAAGGTTCTTTCTCCAAAGCCTCTTCCTCGGTTTGAAAACACATGGAGTCCTTTTGCGGCATGGTTACTGATAAGTAGAACATTTTGTTTCCACTCTTTTTAGTTTACATAGTCAATCCCCTCTCAGAATGAAAGACTTTGAAAGTTCCAACTTGAATCAAGATAGCTAACCCCTTCTCTTAAAGTTTTGCAATGATTAAAAGAATGCTCTTAAGTTCTGGAACGTAGTAGATGTCATATATAATCTAAACTGGTGAGAGTCGGCAAGAGAAGTTGAGAGTGAGAGAGTCAAGATTTCTCAATTTAGGTTTTTTGTTGTAAATTTTGTTTTAGTTTAGAGTTATTTTAGTAATTTGCTAATTTTGACCAGATGATTTCCAGCAAACTAATCTATTTCGGTTCATCCAACTGAGTTTACGACTTTAACCAAAATTTTAAAAACTCATCTAGATGGATCATCTGGCTGGTGCTTGTTTTTAGCAATAAACACATATCAATTCTCATCTCTTTGAAAATGATCTATCTGAATAGAAAAACAAAGAACACCCCAATGAACATTATTCCCTTCTATGATCTTTTAAACTCGTCAACCATCTTTCTTTTCTTTCAAGTTTTCCAGTTAATGTTGTGTACAGTGATCAATTAAATTATTCAACTGAAAAATACACTCTTTGTTAGTTCCCCACAACTATGAATCTATGATGGTGAATATTTTTGGGGAAGAAGAAAAAGAAATAAGCGTTCAAACATCAAGGAGATGAGGTATACAAAATAGTCTTCTTCTCTAGAATTTCATGAGAGAATGATATGTCATATGTCTAAAGATCTTTTTAGTATTTTCTTGTAGTCGTTTTTTACGTAGTTTTTGATTTCGTTAGAGCCATGTAGGCCGATGTGATTCCCAACCACAATTCTCTGTTCCTATGGAGTCGTACTATTTTTTAATATTTTTCATTTGGTTTTTAGTTAATTTTGTGTCTTCTTCGAACGTTTTCTCGCTTACATTGTTAGAGGAATTTAAACAACAGCAAAATTCTCCTTAACATAAGAAACCATATGAATTCCTAGTTTAGTAGTTTATCTGAAGCTGGTTTTTTTTTTTTTGCCCTTTTCTACAAGTTTGTTCAGCAGAGAAACTAGTTTCAAAGGAGCTGGCCGAGTCCGACAAGCAAAAGCAGAAGGTGGCTCAAATAGTTGCCGTGCATAAGCATTGTAAAGAAAAAGAAAACACAAAAAAGCAGAAGATGGCTCAAATAGTTTTGTACATTTTTATATTGAGAGTAATATGTTTTTGCACGAGATCAAAAGAACTAGAGTATGATAGTCAAAATAACGGTTTATGGGACCTTGAACAATAATGGGTATGAAGAAGGGATATTCGAAAGCAGACTTACAATTCTCTTTCCATCTTTTTCGCTTTGATTTCACATAAATCTCTTTGCTTTTTCTTTGCTTGTAACTCAGCAGCAACGAGACATTAGAAGTATCATCGTCATATAGAGTAGGATTCACTGTGGATTTTTTTGCTCTTTTTAGAGTTTCACTACTCAACAGCATGTTCATATCGAATATAAAGATAAATATCCTTTATAATATCTTCTCAAATAATAAGATAATATGGAATAAGAATAGGTTATTTGTGTGAGCTTTGTATCATGACTTTCTGTTTTCATGGCTACCCAACACTTGATTCCCCCTTTCGGATACACTTTGGTAAGTCATTCTTCACTTCTTGCATATCTGTTTCACTATGGTTCTGGTTCTATTGAACAACTGTAGAATATTCAGCTTCCTCAATCATATAGTTAGTGATTGTTATTTTGGGGTTCTCTTGTATGTTTAAATTTCAGATTAAGATTTACATACTTTCACAACAAGTTCAAGTATGATTTTTCATATGATTTGTGTACTCATTTGCATCATCACCAAGAGCTACAGCCAGGAGAGGAGGCATAAATTATATTCATGGGAGACAACATTCAAATTATATAAAGAATTAAGGATGCAATTGCAAATAACTAATGGGGGTATTATTAAAATTGTTAATAATTTATATGAGATTTCAAAAAAACATTGGGTCAAATATCTCCTTTTTGTTCAATGTGGTTCTGCCACTGAGAGCTACAAGCGCATCACCACCAAGAGCTACAACTGATCACTACTAGGAGTTACAAGAAGCTAATGGACACCAATAATGGAGAAATATCCATAGCTGTCCTGGTGTAGTGTGTGCATTGCTCAAAACTGTGATTTTCTTGAATGTTCCTGTATGCCTTTGTCAAAATTGAACAAGTGCTTTTCTTTTTGGATAAGTTAGACAATGACTCAGATGATCAAACAAAGAAACACATCAAAAATTCACCCAATATGTAAAAAATGATTTATGAAAATAATTCTTACCATATTTATTAATGACTGAATCGTGCGATTCTCGTTCTGTCGAATCCAATCTCAATCAGAGTGAACATATCCTATGTGGTTGTAGAAAATTTTCCTTCCATTTTGATCAGCAGGGTTCAACTAGACAATATGAATTCACAGCGTCTGAGAATGATCACATTGATCTCATTGGTTGAAAGAGATTGAGGAAGTCGAGATAAATATCTTTTTGTACGCTAAGAAAGACATGGGTGAACTATTGGGATTGATGGAGAGGAGTAAGGAATTTGGTTTCTACAATTTTAGTATCATGGGAGTTATTACCAAAGATGAGAAATCTAGTGTGGTTGGATCGAGTTGACAAAAAGTGATGAAAGATATACAAAAATACCGTAATTGAAGACAACTTTGTCAAAGGCTTGCTCAATTCTATGCTTGAAACTGCCAAGGGTAAGAATGCATGACATTCCTCCACCTCGATGAGTCTTCCTACCTCCGCTTCTACAAGTTATGCCTACTATCTTTCTTGCCTTCGCTTCAATGAGCATTTCTGTTTTCACCTCTATGAGGCATATTTATTTGGTCCTTTCTGCCTCCAAGGCTGCAGACAAGATTGAAGTGATCTTTGTAAAGGTCGATTTTCTATAATTGTTGAGGATTTGTTGATTCTGATTGGAAAGGATTCGTCTGATTGGGAACTGCATGGTTCAGTATCACGTTCAATTTCACAAAGCGTTACAAGAACATATAAAGAAATCACATTTATGAGCGTTGTATGCATTGATACCAAACCCATAATATAATGATATAGAGCTAAAACCGCATAAGATCAGCAAAGGCAAAAACACCAAAGAATATTCTTTTGTTTAAAAGAAATTCCTTTTAAAAAAAAAGTTAGGGTTTAGAAAATCGTTCTTCTATTCACATAAAATAAAATAAATATAAATAACCCTTTTTATATAAATAAGAGGCAGAAATTTGAAAAAAATCATTGGAAAATTAAGAGCAATAATACATAAAAAGAAATATATGCATGCTTGCAAATTTTTGTTGTTCTAACTTTTTATTATTTATTTACAAGATCAAAATGCAATACAACAAATAATACATGATCGAATACAAGTGATTTTATAGCAAAATGGAAATTTCATAAACAACAGTATGAACAACACGAAGCAAACACGAATACAAGTGATTTTGTAGTCTCTTGCATTAAAGCCCAAAGGGCAAACCCATTAAAGGTAGAGCAAATACATTTTTTGTTTAGCCCACTAAACTTAATACTAAAGAATACAAAGACTTGGACACGTGTAATAATTTAACAACCTAACCCAGCAACATGTGTTATCTTCAAGATGAGAAATTGCAGCGCCGCTTCTTCCACTGGAATCTTCATCCTTGCCGGGATTTGCATCTAATGGATCCCTTCACGGTGCTGCTTTAATCGACTCTGCTCGTTCCTTCTGCTTTTTCAACCATTAGAAGATGATGATACTTCCTTGCGTCGTTAATAGATATCCCCGTCGGAAAATTAGAAGCAGAATGTTCTCTCGACCATTTTTAAAAAAACGTCATATCTGCTGACTCTACACCATAACCATCCGATTGACTCACATCACCAAAAGAAACATGTGCTTCGATTCAGCCGAATACAATCAACTTAAAAGAAAGGAATTACTCTTTAGAAAAGAAAACCAAGAACCCAACGGACAAAAAGTTCATCAAAATCGCCTGAAATCTGAAATTGAAGAATGGAATAGAAAAACAAAATCCGATAAACGAAAGAATTATTTCTCAAAGAACCGGACTTGCCAGAATTTATAATCCGGGAACAAAACTAAACAAAGAGAGCGAAAGCTCCAGAGAGAGAAGAGAGAGAAGCTTCCATCCTTTAGTCTAACTATAGAAAATAGTGATCACAAGTGAAATCTCGGCCAAGGTTTAGCTCACTTGTTGCAGCAGCAGAAACGGTGCTCAGGCTCTCGACCCATTTAGCATTAAAGCCCACATAAATAACAACGCCCACCATTCTCACACTGTTAAGTACTAACAAAAACCATGCCATTATGATCCCAAAAAACCTTGACTTCTTCAACTTTCTCCTTCCTTGTCACTGATAAACTTCCCTGCAAGAGTCAAAACATTACAGAGACAGATTTAACACGACAAGTTCTTTGCTTTTATAAGAGTCGAACAGAGTAGTCTACACAGATATTGCCTCACCTTTTAAAGCCGGAGTTTCTTTTTCGGCTTGTGCGAAAAACTGTTTGGCTTTGTGTGCTACTTCAGCTTCAAGGACCGCCTCCAGCATCAAATCAGATCCTCTTGCACTCTCTGCAAACCAAATGAATAAGGATAAAGTTTCGGGAACAACTTCAGTTTCTAAAACTATGGTCAAGAACGTTTGGAAAAGAAAACATGTAATGAACAATCAGAAATTCTTCTTACCTTTGCGAAGAGGGAGCAACTTCGCCATCTCAGCTGAAACCGGAAGAACATGCGAGAGATCTGAATCGCTGCTTAGAGTTTGGCTTTTGCCACTGACTGTCTCAGACAATCGTGCAAATGCTGTTGCTTGCGCGTGCATGTTAACTGAAACCGACGCCGACGAGCCACTAAATTCTCGAGCCTTTATGGACATAAAAAAGAGAGAAGAGTGTGATTGACACAATTGTAGAAAACAAAAATGAATCAAGAAAGATAAATAACATAACAAAAAAAAAACACCTTTGTCCAATGATCTGTACTCTTATGTCTTTCTTCAACGTTATTAACCGATGTAACATTCCCTAAAACTGACAAGAATCAAGAGCAACCAGAACAAACAAGAAGTAGAAGTAGTGAGTGTGGTTTTATACCATTGGTGCTTTGATTAGATTCTTGAGAATGGTTGTCTACTCTTCGAGTCAAAGGACTTGAATTAAACAGAGAGAAGCTTGCTCCATGGCTAATAGCATCAACTTGTGCTCGCAAATCTTGAACTTCTTTAGAAATCTAAACAAGTTATATGAGAATAAGTAAAGATACACAAGACTAATGCTTATAATTACAAACAAAAAAAAGTTCAAGAACAGAGGAAAAAACAAATGGAACCTCCTGCATTTGAGGTTGTTTCATGACACCGTCTATGTGGCCACGAGCCATTTGGATGTAGCCAATGGCTCGTCCGAATAATCTTCCTCCTGCTCTTGCAATAATCGGAAGATCCTTGGGCCCTGAAACATTGGAAATACTCACTGAATCAAATGATCTCAATTTCACATTCTACCTTCGAAAATTAAACACTTAAATCAGTAGGGAAACATTCACCAGACGAATTTGGCTGAAGAACACAAAGATCGATGAGATTTGAAGAGACTAACCTACAACAGCGGCGGTTGCGCCGATTATGACTAGAATCTCACCGTAAGAGAGCCCAAGCATCGCTTCCTTCTCGCCGGCGTCCGATCGTCGGTTTCTTCGCCTCCGTTTCTTCTCACCGTCTTCGGTGAAGGAGAAATCGATTTCATTACAAGGCCGAAATATAAGTTATTGGGCCTAATTGCATTAAAGCCCATTTTATTGATATTTAAAAGCTAATATATGTTAATGTTTTTAAAATTAATACTGTATTTTATTTTTTTAATCTTTATGGGAGAAGAAGGAATCCACTTCTCGTGGCCAGTCTCTGAAAGCGTAAAATCCAAGGATGTTTTTGATTCTTCGTCGGACGTAGTGATTCGAAAAACTCCGGTCAAATCCTTTTGCTCCGATCGATCGAAGTTATTTTTTCGGTTTTCGTTCGCTCCGATTTTCCTTCATTTTCTCGAGAAACCAAAACAGTTTCAATTGAATAAAACCTCACCAAAAGTCTCGATACTTAGATCCATGGAACTGGATTTGAAAATTCGCAATCCGTAAAATCGAAGATCTAGCTATGGATTTTCTAGAGCTAGAAGCGATCGAGGGTTTACGCTGGTCATGGAACTCATGGCCGACCACAAAATCCGATTGCAAATCTCTCGTTGTTCCTCTAAGCATCATGTATACTCCATTGATGCAGTTCTCCGAGCTTCCCACGATTCCTTATGATCCGCTGATTTGCTCTCGATGCGGCGCAGTGTTGAACCCTTACGCTCGTATTGATTACCAGTCTCGAATCTGGGCTTGCCCCTTTTGCTTGCACAAAAACCCTTTCCCTCGCTCTTACGCCGGAATCACCGAAACCAATCTCCCGGCGGAGCTTTTCCCGACTTACAGCGCCGTCGAGTACTCTCCGCCACGTAAATCAGCATCCACCACTACCCCGACGGCTGCTTCGACCGCGGGTTGGACTAACGGGATCGGTCAAGGGCTACAATCATCAAGATCGATGCCTTCCACTTCGTCTTTCTCGTCTCTTGCTTCCACAGTTGGAACTGGTGGTGGCAGCTACGGCGAGCTTGGACCTGCGTTCGTGTTCGTGGTTGATGCATCTATGGCGGAGGAGGAGTTACAGGCTTTGAGAAGTGAGCTTCTGCTAGTGATTGAGCAGTTGCCAGAGAATTCATTGGTGGCTTTGATTACTTTTGATTCCATGGTTAGGGTTTATGATCTGGGTTTTTCTGAATGCTCCAGAGTTGTTGTTTTCCATGGCGAACGTGAGCTTCCTTCAGAGCAGGTAAAAACCTTGATTTGGGACTTTTGTTCAAATCTTCTTTCTTTGCACAAATGGTGGGATTTGATTTAGTTATATACAATAGAGGGATGCAAAATGATTGAATCACTTCCTTTCTTTTCATTTAGATGATTCGTATCTCCTGATTAGTGTGTTGAATTGTTGATATGTATAGTGTGGTTTGAAGCTTTTCGTGTGGAACAACTACTCTTTTTAGGGTTGTTGTTGTTCTTGAGCCAGAAATCTACCGCCGTCCTGTGTTTCGTCTTGATTGTTTGTTTCGATAGATTGTTCTTATGTGTTGAATTTGAAATTGACAAAGTTTTTCATCAGATACAAAAATTTCTAGGACTTGGATATTCGAAGCAGCTTCATCATGGGAAGATGTCAGCGATAAGAAAGCAGAGTTTCTTGCTTCCGTTAGCGGAATGTGAGTTTAACATAACATCAGCTTTTGAAGAAATCGTTCCGTTGGTTAATACCAAACCAGGTCATCGTCCTCATAGGTCAACCGGTGCTGCGATCTCAACAGCATTGGGACTGCTCGAAGGTTGTTCTATAACTACAGGCGCACGGATTATGGTTTTCACATCGGGACCTGCAACAAGAGGCCCCGGGATAGTCGTGGACTCGGATCTAAACCATTCGATCAGAACACACAGAGATATCATCACCGGTCAAGTGCCTTACTACGACAGATCTTGCGAGTTTTACAAGAAACTAGCAAAGAGACTCTGCGATTCGTCTGCTGCTCTCGATCTGTTCGCTTGCTCTCTTGACCAAGTCGGCGCAGCCGAGATTAGGTATGCGGTGGAAACCTCTGGTGGGTTTCTCTTACTCGGAGAAACGTTTGAGTCCGAGCAATTCAAGAAATGTCTCAGGCATATATTCAGCCGCGATGCAGATGGGAACTTGAATATGTGCTTCGACGTTTCTTTAGAAGTTGTGACGACTAAAGATATGAGAATTAGCGGGGCGTTAGGTCCCGTTGTGTCGCTTAGAAGGAAGAATGATATAGTGAGCGAAACAGAGATTGGTGAAGGCGGAACATATATGTGGAAAACGAGCACTGTGACGAACAAGACTTGTGTTTCCTTCTTCTTTCATGTGAGCAACGAGCAGAATCGAAAACCGCAACCCGGTTCAGCGTTCTTCATCCAGTTCATCACTCGGTATCGGTATGGCAATGGAGGATTGAGGAAAAGGGTTACAACGGTTGCAAGAAGATGGGTTTCCGGAAAATCACCGGAGATCTCGTCTGGTTTCGATCAAGAAACAGCTGCTTCGGTTATGGCTCGGCTTGCGATAAATAGAGCAGAGGAGTGTTACTCTAGAGACGTTGTTAGATGGTTAGATGATGGTTTAATCCGCTTCGCTTCACGGTTCGGAGATTACATCCAAGAGGATCCATCTTCTTTCAGGTTGACTCCAAACTTCTCGCTTTACCCTCAGTTCATGTTCTATCTAAGAAGATCACAGTTTCTTGACGTCTTCAACAACTCCCCGGACGAGACCGGTTATTTCCGTTTAATATTAAACCGAGAAGGAGTTGTTAACTCAATCATCATGATTCAACCAACGCTTCTCCGGTATTCGTTCGATGGACCACCGGTTCCAGTCCTCCTCGACATCCGATCAGTGACACAAGACGCGATTTTGCTATTCGATTCATACTTCTACGTGGTGATCCACCACGGTTCGAAGATCGCGCAGTGGAGGAAGCTCGAGTATCACAAAGACGCGAACCACGAGACTTTCCGGAATCTTTTGGAGGCGCCGGAGATCGATGCGGTGCAGCTAGTGAGTGATCGGATTCCGATGCCTCGGATTGTGCGGTGTGACCAGCACGGAAGCCAAGCTCGGTTTCTTCTTGCGAAGCTGAATCCTTCGGTTACTCAGAAAACCGATCATACCGGTGGTTCTGAGATTGTTCTCACTGATGATTTGTGTCTTCAAGATTTCCTCGATGATTTGCAATCTCTGGCAGTCCAAAGATGAGCAAAACTGGTTAATTGGTTTGGTTTTGAATCGGTTCAGGTAACGGTTTTGACTAATTGGTTATACGAATAGTCTTATGGCTTATAGTGTTCAGCTTTTGAGAATCGTTTGGATGGAATTTGAAATGTATTAGTATGATTTGATTTGGCTTTATTCATTATATAGAAACGGGTTTTGATCTTGTGCAATAACCAATGAATCTGGTAATTAAATCGATTTTTTATTTTCTCGAGAAAGTCAGGGAAAAATATTGGGTAAGAATATGAATTTTACACAGAATCCAGAAAGAAAAAGAGATCCTAAATCCCGAAATCATATATACAATGAACAATTTACATCTCCATTTAAAGTGTCCACATTAATACAATTTTTATTTTAAAATGGACTTCTCAATATTTTAGATTTTGTTTTCAAGTTTTTATATTTTGGATAACTATTTTTTGGTTATTAATATGATAAATTTGAAATTAAAAATAAATACTTATTTTACAAGTCATAAAAATTACAAATTTATGTCCTTTGTTTATGAAAAGAATTTGGAAGGCAATCACATACAAAAGATGACTGAATAAATTACAGATAATAATTCTCAAAACATTTTATAAAAAAAAAACCTTAGAAAGATTTATGTATAAAATTAAAGTAAAATCATTCATATCAAATAAATACTCATTTTACAAATTATAAAAACATAAATTTTATATGAAATAAATATAAATAAATAGAATGTGAAAAGAGTTATTTTGAATATAAATAAATAGAGTGTGAAAAAGAATTTGAAGGTAAACAATTACAAAAGATGATATAAAAACTTGCAGAGAATAGTTATCAAACTTTTTTAAGAAAAATTCAAAAAGATTAATGCATAAAATAAAGTAAAATCATTCATATCTACTTTACTATGTAAAATGAATAAATGTTTTTATGAATAAAAAACTAAACTGTTTAATAATATAGTATATAAATAAGTTTAATTTATATGAAGGACAATAAATGGTAAATACTTTTCAACCATTTTTTCTCAACGATAGCAATGTAAAGTTGATATTCGATGAGTTTACTCGTCAACCAGATAATTTATGAATTTTAATATGAAGTATATAAATAAAATAAAATAAAATTATTGATTATATTTTCTAATAGAGTTAAATTCTTTATCTACACATGACATGAAAATAGACAAAAATATTTCACACACATTCACAAATATAGTCAGGTAGTTCATCATTATTAGATGGATGAACACATCGGAATTGTTTTTCGAAAAAGAAAAATATTTGAAATCAATTAAAAACTAAGAGTTACAACCAATCACAGAATTGAATGAGATGAAAGCTTGCATGAAATAAAAGAAAATATCAGTGATTGTAATCAGAATAATAGGACTAAGAGCATTAGGAAAAGAAAATATAAAAAAAATTAAGAGAACATTTAGTTTAGAGTGGGAAAGGGTAGATAATAATTTCACCTTATCTGTGAAAATAAACTGTAAAAAAAAAATCAAAAACCAATTGAATACAATTAAACAGTTAGGACACATATAATACTTATTGCAGTGTATAAATATACGAGATTTTTTAATAATTATTATAATACATCGTAATCTATATTAGAAAAAAAAATTTACAATTAAATATACATATTTTGGAAAAAAATAAAAGAAAATATTTTAAAAAAGACAACATTATAATATAAAATAAACATATATATAATAAAAAAATAAATATAAAAAATAAAATAAATTAATAGATAAGTCTGCGCAAAAGATCAAAACATCAAAATTTATCAACAATGTTATCCATAAAAAAACAAAATACATATACTCTGATAAAAATAAATATACACCTGAACGACTTTAAATTATACAGAAGAGAGACAATACATTGAATCTCTCCATAACATTAGTTTAAAAGTAAAAAAAAAAAATAGTTATTGTACAAATCACAAAACTACAAATTCTCTACAAAATAAAAATTTATTTCGAATAAAAAATGAAGAAAGAGTGTGTGATCGATTGTGAAATCATTTTACTGATTTTACTGAAAATAAACCACATAAATAGTTTAATTAAATAAAAATATTTAATATGAAGACATAGATACTTTCGATAGCGTATAACTATAAGAATTTTTTTTTAAATAATTAACATATCGTAATTTATTTTAGAAAAAAATATTTCACAAAAAGTTTACATATTTTACGATAATTAAAAAATAAAACACATTATAAATAAAAAAAACATAATAATTATATGTATTAACAAATAAATTCGTGCAACGCGCGAATCAATTTCTTGTATAGAATAATAAAAGGGAAAATGGGCATTTAAATATTAAATTTTCAAATTTCAGCGATGTTGGAACTGGATTTTGCATCATAAATTTGGTCCATTCGAGCCCAACAGACAGATCCAAACTAAGTGTAAATTGGCTGGGCTTCGTTCGTACAACCATGCCCACTTCCTTGCAATGGTCCAAACTTAAACAATCAAACGGTCCGATCACGAGGTCGAGTTCCAGCTCGACGAAATCCCGAGAAATAAGAAAGGATCTGAGCCAAGTCAGAGCATATTCTCGCCAGTTCAAACGAGCCCGGAATTCGCGGGGGAAGCTGCTGCACGTGGCCGAGATACGCGCTAGAGGTTGAAGCTCGACGAGGCGAGCTATATAAAAGGACACAAACTACTTAGTGAGGGGGCCTTTTTGGCTTGATCTTCTTCTATACTTTTTACACACGAAAACTCTGTAACTGCTCTTCGAGTTCTTTTCATTTCATCTCTTTCAGAGAAATCTTTGTAACCATTTAATTCACCTGATTAATATCAAGTCCTTATTTCAGTTAGTGTTTGCTTATACAGTCAATCTGTTCGAGAGAATCTAGCCTTTAATTCTCTTAAAGTTCTTTCCTTACAAAACACATAAATTTCTGAGTGTGGATTTCTGTATCCACATTTTGGCGCCGTCTGTAGGGAACGATCTATAGATTTCTCTTACTCAAGAGCAGATCCTAAGCCAGCTGAAACCGAAATGGATTCAACTCAACAAACCTCGCAAAATGTCTCACCAATCCTGATCTCTCCAGATCAAGTCACTCCGGCCGGCAATGTCAGCTAGACAGCCAGCGGAAACGAACCCAGGGTCACGACCCTCATCGACACCACCGGCACGAACGCCAACATTCCCAGCTGTGTGGAACTGATCGTGATCAACCTCGTCACCCCACCAGGAACAACGCATAACCAGTCACAAGCAGCCGAGAGGCCTCCCTCTTGAACCGGGGTGCGATCTGAGAATCCACCCACAGCTTCGGCATCTCAGAGACGAGTAACTCCTGTTTCTCCGCCACCACCTGCAGCTTCAAGGAGCGCATCAGAGTCGGCGGAGATACTCCAAATGCTCAGACATCTGATCGATCGACAATGAGATCAGGAGATCATATTAGAAAGACAGGAGAGGCGTCAAGCCGCAACTCGATCCGCTGCGAGTCCACCTCCACAGACCCAGCTCGACTTTTCATCGATTCCCGCTCCAAGTAATCCACCTGGACATCTAGCGACATCTTTGCGTGCTCCAGGTCCACCAAGCTTCGCCCCTGCGGCAAATCAAACACCAATCACTATGGATATTTTGACTCCAGGAATACCAGAGATGGGACCTCGTCCCAACACGAGATATCCATCTCCACCTGTGCTGGCACCAGGAATACCCAAAATGGGACCTCGTCCCAATACAAGATATCCATCTCCACCTTTAAGACCACCTGGAACCGAGACATATCGACAGAGATGGCTTGGATCCTCGGCCTTCACCTCGGGCTCGCAAACACCACCCCAGTTCGGCCAACAACTGAACACGACCTCGAGCTCGTGACTCCCTAACGGGACCCGCGAACAACCCATAGGGTTTGTTCACCAACAGCTTGGAACCCAGGTTCTAAACGATCCGACTCAGGCTAACCACCACGGCGTCAATTCAAGAAACCTAGTCGACTGCGAATCCTTCGAAAGATTCCAGAACAAGACCGACTACGCCATTCGGCAGACGAACTCTATATTCCATCAAGCCACGAGCTCAGCTCCCGACATCGATCGAGTAATCCGCGAGACCCAACGGACTCTGTTCACTTACTCGATCATGAACACGTACCTCCGATACACGTCCCGGAGTATGCAGGAAACAATGACCCAAAATCTCACATCTGACTCTTCAACCTCGCAGCTATCCGAGCTAATTTCTCACCAGAGGAAAAAGAAGGAGAATCCTGCAGGCTCTTTGCCGACAACTTAGTCGGACCAGCCCAGGAATGGTTCGCGACGCTAGAAGAAAATTCAATCGGGAATTTCAACGAGCTCGTGATAGCCTTCCACAAGCAATATTCGATATTCATCAAAAAACGAGAAATCGAAGCAGATCTCTGGAAGCTAGCTCAAGCTCCGGATGAACCACTTCGATCATACATTGCTAAATTCAAGGCGATCAAAGCAAAAATCGCTAGTCCTAACGAAGCAATAGCCCTACTCGCCCTCCGAACTAGCCTTTGGTACCAGTCGAGGTTCAAGACGGAGCTCACGCTTCGACAAACAGACTCACTTGACGACGCACTCCATCGCACATCCATATTCACTAACTTCGAGGACGAAACGGCCGCCTGCAAAGCAAAGTACTGTAACTCACAGCTCCACCTCGCACCTTCCGGGTCGAAGAAAGCTAACGTTCCACCTCCCAAATGGGAGTCGCAAGGCAAAGGTCAGCATTCATATGTCACAGAAAGCTCGTCCCCCGAAAAGGAGTCGAGCTTCGACCAAAACAAATATTGCGAACACCACAAAAAGAATGGACATTCCACCGAGGACTGTCGAACTCGAGCTAGAATTATGGCAAGAAAGCTCACCAAAGAAAAATCCGAGAAAGTTGAGGAAAAAAGCAAAAAAACCAAAATCACCTCGACAAAGCATTTCAAAAAAGAGATCGCGAAGTCGAAATCGAAGTCGAAATCCAAACCCCAGATTCTCCTCCTTCAGCGAGAAAAAGGATCGATCTGATTTTCAGATAGCTAAACATGTGTGGTGGATCAATGAAATCAGTAATCACCCGCACCTAGGAAACCATCGAGCTCCAGCTCCACCAAGCTCCATAAGATCGCGGGAGGGCGCGTGCTTAACCAACTCGGTAGCTCATCAAACCGAGTATCACCCAACTTTCGACACTCCGAATTCAAGCGAGCTCTAGCTCACGCACCGCTCACTCGTTCGGAGGGGAGGGGGAGCTACCCAC